GAAATGTTTTCTGGATTGCTAGCACTTAGAACTTGTTTATTCTGTTGTAGGTGACAAGATAAGAAATTGAAGCAAGACTGACCAGTATGCTATAGAATAGGTAGCCCAATCTGCAGGAATATTAAAATTCAAAAGTGGAATTAAGACTTATGAACTGGAAACTGCATCAACTATGACTGTTTGCCAAAGCATAACAATAAAAGATATTAATATTTACCATAAAGCACAGGGAAATGATAGGACCCGGTTGGACCCGGCCAAATATTTTTGGGGGCCCGGTCTGGACCCATCCGGGTCCAGACCGGTTCCATAGACCGGGTCCCCGGGTCCACATTTTGCCACCTCTAGTTTGGAACCACGAAAAGCTTGCAAACGCGCGGCTAATGCGAGCCGACATACGCCGAATCGCGATTTCGGCCAAACATGGTCACGGAAAAGAGGTCACAGGTCAAAGGTCATTGGGGTCAGGGTCATGAAATTTTCAGGGTAGGTGTAAAATTGATCAATGCGAGGGTACTGAAAGTTTCGTCGCGATCGGCCGCTTTTTACGCGAGGTATTCGCGAAAAACCTTAGGGGGTTGAATCAACCCCCCTGTGCCGGCGAGGGTTAAAACTTATGCGATGCTATACTTAACTCCCCCAGGCAACAATGACTTTTATTTGCACAAAGGGGATCCAGCTTTCCTTATAAAGCTCTGCTTTACCTATGCATGTCATTGCGACCTGAACAGCAGCACTGGCGGTCGCAGCCGCTAGCAAAAGGGGGGGCCAAAGTCACACTCGCGGGACATAACATTTATCCGTCACCGGGAGGGGGGGGGGGGGTGATCGGCTAATTTTTTACGTCCACGAGGCGCCGCGCAGTTGGCATTACTTATGCTTCATCCATCTCATTCTTGCGTGAAATCTTTAAGCTCAATTGAAGGCAAAATCACCAGTTCCATTTCCCGTCCCACGGTGCTTCTACCGGTCGGGCCACTGCACCATGAAGACGGATCGGTGTAGCATAGGTATACTGGAAGGTCAGGCACGCGGATTCATGACCTTGACCACTATAAAACAATTCGGAAAAGTACAGATACCTCTTGCTTTGAACAAGCATGTGAAACCCAGAGAGCATTTTCAGACTATGACATTTACCGATATAGGTACCTAGCTGTGTGGCGGCGGGAGAGAGTAGGTACACCGACCTCTGGAGACCCCCACAGGTTCCGAGCTTTCAAAATTGGCATCTGAGGGTCGCGCGCGACTCCTGCGGGGCTTCGCAACGGCTCTATTGGTTGGGGCTCACTCAACCTGCCTAGTCCTACTGCTAAAAAGACTGGCCCTGAGCCCTAAGGACTTCATCAGTCTCTGCCAGCCCCAGGACCCACACCGGCTCATGGGGTCCCGACGTCGAAATATGAGGGAATCTGCGCGGGACCATCAGGACGTAAAGTAATCTCGATCAGGACCAACGTAAGGCTGTGCCGGAGACTGCGTGAGCCCTCTGATCTTCAGAAACCCACCCATGTATGTTTTCACGTAGAGGCCAGTTTAGGGCCCTCAGAGACCAGTACAGGGCCTGCAAACTACAAAGGCCAGTAGTTTGAGACCATCAGAGACCGAGTTGGGCTCTCAGAGGCTAATGTGGGTCCTTACTCATTACAGGCCAACATGGGCCCTCAGAGGTCAGCGTGGGGCCCTAAAAGACCGGCATGAGCCGTCGTTGGACCCCAGAGGCCAGTAGAGGGCCCTCAAAGGCCAAGATGGGTCCTCCTCAGAGGCCAATGCAGGCCCTTAGAGGCCGGCATCGGGTCTTCAGCAGCCAGTGCGGGGCCCTCATTGGCACCTAAAGGTTCGTCTTGGGACACCAGAGACAGAAATAAGGCCACCAGAGACCGGTGTGAGACCCTCAGACGCCGGTTGGGACCCCTGAGGCCGGTTAGGGGCCCTCATAGGCCAGATGTGGGGCCTCAGAGGTTGATGTAGGCTCTTAGCGGTCAACTTGGGCGCTTGACCGCCACTGAAGTTCCCTCAGAGGTCAGTGTAGGACGCTCAAAGACCGGTGTGGGAGCTATATTAAAAGCTGGGCGTGGGTTTTTTGAGCCTCGTGACGATCGAATAATTGCCATGGCCCCATACACCTATATGGGGGCCCATTGGTTGTTTGAGGGGGGGGGCAAATGACATGATGGCCCCCTTTATTGACCTTTGGGGGGGGCATGGCCCTGATGCCCCCCCCCCCCCGCGACCGCCACTGTATACACATTACACGCATGCCTCTGAGATTACATACTAGCTCATGCAAACTCTATGCAGGCCCCGGAGGTCCCACGCTAATCCTTAAGAAACCAAGCCGGCATACGGCGTCACCACCGGGCTTCTGAGGTGCACAGCACCAACCCATGAGGTCCTACTTTAGTGTCTTAGAGCCAATCTCCTTTAGCAGGGCCCACCCGCCACTGCCGAAGAGGGTCTCATGCCAGCCATTGCTGGGCCTACGAGAGCCTCAAGTAAACCCACGCTGATATTCTATATAAGATCCGGCCATACTCGTGAACCGTTGCCAGCGACGCTGACCGCCAAATTGACAGAATGCGAAACTGAGCCTCATGGAAATGACGTAAATTTCACTCATGAGTGAAATTTACGTCCTTTGATGGCGCAAGAAAGAAAATGAAACATACGAAAAGCTTTTCTAGGACTATTGTTCGATCTGAAAGGTGGGGCCAAAAGATAGTATGGCCCCACCTTTCAGCACCAAAGGGGGGGGGGCCATGGCCCCCGTGCCCCCCCCCCCCCCTGGGACCGCCTATGAACAGCAGGATCTTATCTAAATCTATCAAGTCAGAGGGGGTGAAGACCGATACATTCCCCTGAAAGGCATTCCGCGACTGCTCACCGTCCTGCACCACTGATCACTGTTTGACCAGCATGCCCTTGTTGTTTGCCCAGTGCTGCCCAGTAGTCCGCCTGGCCCTGTTCTGACACCCCAGGGGTCAGATTGGCGGCTGACTCCTGAATTCCCTCTTTCGCACTCGCCGGGCCTCTCACCTGCCCGTAATTGAAGGGTGCCTCGGCTGAGCTGTCAAAGGGATGGATTCTGACAAAACATGTTTGGCTTTGGACCGACAGTCGGGTCTGGGCCGGACTGAGAATACGCTGAAGGCAAGCAGCTGCTCGAAAGTAGCCCGGCAGATGACATCAGCACTCAGCAGTAATAGTTGAGGTAATACATGCTGACATGTGTCTTTTGTTAAATGATGAGCAATAGGACTCCGGGTAAAAATATAACAATTGAGCACATTTTACTGCTTCGGTGAAAGACCAGAAAGAGCAGCGGCAGCAGAGTACGTCCAGTGATCAAGATCATGTTACGATTCTGGCGCTACAGCAGACCGCTGACAAAACAAAGAAAATCAATTTTATTCCCCTCCCGACCATCCACCGGTCGACTTTCCGGCTGCGGTATCCCCCTCCCCTTCCCCTCCATCCACCCCTTTCTTTCCTCCCAGGCCAATCAATGCCGGCGCCTCCGCTTCCTGTGCCGGCCTCCGTCCGTTCTGGCATGCTCCCCTCCCCCGGGCCTCCCATGTCTGGAGCCCGTATAGTTGCGCCGAGACGCCCGCCGGACACCCCTCCCCGCCCCACCCCCTGCGGTGCGCCTCGTTACCTCTCTCCGCCCCCTCGCAGTCACGTGACCGATCGGCTGGACACCGGGCTCGACCGCTCGCTGCGTGTGACCACGTCTTGGGGCGCGAGCCGGCCGGACGGGCGGTGGCGGCGGCGGCGGCGGCAGCGACTGCGGTCTCTAATTTCAGACACCTCCGGCGGGCAGACTGACCACGCTAATGCTCGCCTAGGCGACAGTGACGCGTCGATTTCGCCACAGTGCGGCGTCAACCGGCGCGGCGGCGGCTAACAAGGCCGCGTCACAAAAAGTCGGCCCGTGTTGGCTTTATGACGTCGCGGGGAAGCAGGTGGCGTCGGCAAAAACAGCCACGGAGGAGATGGGATCCGATTGGAGGGCCGACAAGTTGGCCGCGAGTTGCGGAGCGCAGCAGGAGAGCCGGCTCTGACCACCTGCCCGGGTATCGCCGCGCTAACAATCACAGAGACAATCATCGGCCGGGTCGGGTTTCGTGGCGGTAGGCCATGCCCGTAGTTCATCGTAGTTCGACTTATGTATAAGAACGGAATGTCCAATGTCCGTGCTTTTTGTTGGTATTCAAGGTCATGATGGAGTATGAGACGATCTAATAAGGTCATCACAAATTAGTGTAACGTGTGGTGAAAACCGCACTTTGAAATCTATTCAACTGTTCCGTAACTCTCTTACTTTATAAGTTGTTTTAAAAATATTTATGCATATAAAACACGATCTCAGGGTCAGTTGATATAAAAGAGATCAATGCTAGTGCTGCAAGGACACCCATGGAAGAATTATTTTGAAGATGGTTCATCGATTTTTATCTGCTTTTCTCAAGCTGCATATACATATGTGTATAGCAGCGGTAGGCATGTCGCTCCCACAATCCTGCTACAGGAAGATAACATCCCGTTCAGTAAGAAATGCTTGTGATCCAATCCTATCATAATACGCAGCTGAGCACAAGGCAAAGAACAGTATGATGCATGTGCAACACATACGCAGTCAAGAAGTTTACTAGAATAAACAGATTACTTATAAACAACCGGTAAAGTTTCTGTTGCTGAGAACTTACCGAGTACTGCACCCGCTGAGATAGCACAGCTTTCCAAGGTGCCAATGCTGTGCAGCTATGCAGTGTAGTGTCAAGTGTGAGCTTTATACGCATGTGTGTGTGTGAAAAATGTATGTAGTTCTCGAATTGGCGCGAAGTCAGCATCTAAGCGTGCAAGTTATGAAATCGAGTACACTGTCTATGCCGATCTTAAAATGCATCACCTACCACTTGTATGGTAATTTTAACTCTGTAATGCCATGCTCGTGGATTCATTTGATTTATATATCTGAAGGAATAATCATCAAAGTGGGTGAAGTTTATGCCTGGTGTATTATACGCCATTTCCCATCACAGCTCAATCAAGTCATAGATCAATAATTCAACCAATCAGATAGAATAATGCATGTTTTTACCTCCGCACTACTTTTCTTACAGTTTTCCTATTTCATAGTCGGGAGCATCTCCCTGATGAGTTTGAAGAGCGGCAGAGGGCCCTCGCCGCAGACATTCTCCCAGTCATCCTGCGCCATGTCAAACACCATCGCTCCGGCCAGGTCCAGCGCCCGAACCAGGGTCGCCTTGGCGATGATGCTGCGCGCGTTCTCGAAGCTGACCCACTCGGCACCGCTGTAGGCGTACGGCACGAGCCCGAACGAGTCCCAGACCTCGGTGCCGTTGTTCTGAAGCAGACGACAGACGTCTGCCAGAGACGCATAGCCGTCTTCCCACGGGCCAATGGCAGGGGCGTAAATATCGTGCCTGTCAGGGTTCAGCAGCTTCCAGTCGCGCCCGTAGGTTGGCAGACCCATGAGCAGTTTCTCACGAGGCATGCCGCGCTGCAGCCACAGGTTCATGGAGTAGTTGCAGTTCAGCTCGGCGAAGTAGCCGACGTCTGCCGGCGAGGGGTACAGCGGCGAGTTGTGCCCCGTGGCGGGCGTCAGCGTCTGAAAGAAGTGGTAGTCGTACGTCATCACACTGGCGAAGTCGACGGCTGCAGCGACGCGCGGCACCTCGTACGACACGTCCACAATGGTGGTGGGAGCCCCGACGGCCACCGACAGCAGGCGGGGGCGCGCCATCGCCTTCAGCACCGCCTGCAGCGTCTCCAGCAGCAGCGAGAAGTCACGCCGCTCGTGCAAGGGCCGCTCGAATGCCGGGAATTCCCAGTCCAGGTCCAGACCGTCCAGGTTGTTGTCCTCCATGAGCTGAGCAGCGGACTGCGCGAACGTCTCCCGACTGTCGTTGCTCGCTGCAATGCCGGCGAACTGGTCGGGAGATCCTCCGACGGTCAGACAGACACGCAGGTCAGGATTCTCCTCCTCCCGCTTCTTGACCAGCTGCGCCAGGAGTGACACGTCCGACTCGCCAACCCAGAGCTTGCCGTCATCGCCGATGTGACCGAAAAACACGAGCAGATGCGTGCACAGGTCGGCCTCGACCAGGTCGTACGGCACTGTCCGCGAGATGTAACAGGCGCGCATCCAACTGCGCGACACGGTCGGCAGCCGCACATCCTTGGGTAGCTTGTTGTCGAGCACTCCGGGGGCAGCTAGCACAGGAAGGAGTGTCGTCACTGCCAGCAGCACCAGCAGTTTCAGCGTCAGCGGAGACGGCGAGGAGATGGGAGCCATGGCGGAGCACAGCTGCGGCCAACGCAGCGCACCGACAACTGTCGGAGCCAGCGACCGGGCCGAGATCGGGGACGAGGCTCGAGAGGAAGTGGTTTATCAGTGGCCGCCGAGATCGCTCAGCGCGGGTCACGGCCGCCTTTTCAAGTGCGCGAACATAAACCATGGTCTGTTGTCGCCTAGTTGAGTGGAAAGGGACGAACCGCAGCGCTATATTCGTCGCAGCAGCTGCGCAGGCACGGATGGACAAAGTTGTCCGGTGACACATCATCCCACCGCATGTTTGCAGCCTGTCCGTGTTATTGTGTTTATATTAGTCGTCTCGCCGTGGGTGGTCGCCCGTGATTGCAGACTGTGGGAATTGTCAGCGCGCCTGTCGACCCTAACACAGAGATGATTAGTTTACTTTGAGGAAATTACGGTGGCTTCTGACAGCTGCGCGACATTCCTGGTTTAGTGCTTTTGCAAGACGACACCCTCATAATGTTAGATGAGCGTTATATTTGTTTTGTGACTCGGGTATACGTATGAGACACGCTTGGCATTTCTACGCAATTTTGATTTAACCCGGCAGGCGGTGGGCCTCCCGGCCACCTTCCGCGCGGGGGGGGGGCATTTTTTGCCCCCCCCCCCCCGTATCTCCGAAACTACTGGACGGATCTGAAAAATTCGAACGGCGTTCGATAGCCCTGTCAAATTTTTCTCAAGAAACCAAATTTCATTGACCTCGGGGTCACCGATGACGTCACAGGTCAGGTCCAAGATAAAATGTTTCACCGTTCACGGGGCTTCTAGGAAAAGCGCTATAACACCGAGTAAAACGCATTTTGTCGAAAATCAGCGATAGGGCGTCAGTTGTCTAGTACATATGCTGCTATAAGAGGTCACTGGTCATACCAGGTCAGGTCACAGGTCAGGTCACCAAAGGTCACCAAGGGTCACCACATGAACCCAACTTTACTAAGGTTGTGCGATGCATGTTTTATGGCCAGTTTTTCATTTCCAACTCAATGGTGTTGGTTATAAGACCATCAGGTACGGTTTAGGTCACTGTGGAGGTCAGGTCAAGGTCAGGTAAAAAAGGTCAAATTTCAAAGTTGATATTTTTGCATAAAATGGGTATTGATTCGATGCAGCTCGTCACGGGGAGTCTAATGGTGGTCTTTGTTTTGCGCTATGACGTCTAGAATTGCTAAAAATTGAGTTTGAAAATTTGACGTCATCAATTTTGAACAGTTTTTTCGCTATAACTTGGCCAAAAAAGAGGTTTCGAGCTCAAATTTGGTATGTAGATAGAAGGCGGTAGGGACTATCACATATATTCCGTTTTTCGAAATTAAAAAAAAATCGGCTATTTTATTCAAAAAATCTATTTTTTATTTTTGGGGGTCAAAATTCAAAAAATTCGAAAAACCGAAATAGCAGTTTTATAGCCCTATTTATTCCACACCTTTTATGTCAAAAACACTTTTCTGTATCTCTAAAGCTGTAGGCCTGACAGCTCTTCCCGCGAAACCTTTTTTGGGTCGAAAATGGCAGAAATGACGTCACTCTGAGCGGCCAACCTATCATAGCCTTTGGAAAAAAATTTTGGTCACCATGTGCGTTAGCTACTCCCGGGATGGTACTGAAAGTTTGGTGACAATCGGCGCAGCGGTTCTCGAGATATATCGAAAAAACTAAAGGGTGGGGGGGTCAAAAAAATGCCCCCCCCCCCCCACCGCCTGGAAGGTTAATGTTTCTATTTCGAAATCCATGCTGTGTTGTCTATTTGGCACTTATTTACCGTTAAAAGTGTTTGAAACAATAAATATTCTAGCGAATGATGTGTGGCAATAATGAACGTTTCTCTCTATACTAGGACCGGTGCTCAGTCCATTGGACATTCATTGTGATTGAGTAGTGTCAATATATCTAATGTCCATGTCGTTTTACGTTATCATGTACATATTATCTGTCTCATCTATTTGACCACGTATAGCCAAAAGCGCGCAATTGATTAAGTGTGGGTGAGTGTGTATAATTTTATGTGTGCGGCCTAATATCAGTGGGTGAATATCCAAGGGGCTGATAACTTGATTGCATCGGAACCAATAAACAAACACAGTTATTCAATGCAATAGTTGACAAAACTTGACATACGATGACTAACGTCTTGGCCGTTTTAGACTTTCAGACGTTTACTTACCCTGTCATTGGCCTTGGGTGAACACAGATCTGTGCTTACCCACAAAACACAGATTCGGGGTCGGCACCGAATCTGTGTAATAACTTATATCCCGCGCCCCACTGGGGGGGGGGGGGCTATTCATAGCCCCCCTCCCGTTTTTCTGCAATAACTTCCAAACCGCTTGACGTATCGACGCCAAACTTTCAGTACTTTCGGCTGCATCAATTTGACATCTCGTGTCAAAATATGAACTTCGTAGCTACCATAGGTCGGCCGGAAATGACGTCAGAGTGACGTCATGTTCGGCCGATTTCGACGCAAAACATTGAACCACGGCAATCGCTCCAAAGAGCTCAGTTTTTAAGCTAGATCCCAATTTCTTTGCATGAAAAGTCTCAGAATAGACTGCGCTATCATACTGCTATCTTGGATTTTCAAAATTTTGAAAATTTTGAAAATTGTATAAAATAAAATTCAAGATTTATATTTTTATATTTTTTCAAATAGTTTTTGACTTCGAAAAAATCGGAATATATGTGATAGAACCCATGCTTATGACTTACTCTAGCAAGTTTTTGCTAAATATCTTAAAAAATGGCCAAGTTATACGCATTATTGCAAAAAATTCACAATCATTAATTTTTCAAATCAATTTTTCAGTACGTATTTGACATCGTACGCCAATATAAATAGCACCATCGTGTTCCTGAGCTCAAACTGCATCTAATGGACGCCTTTCTTGTTGAAAAATTTTAACTTCAAAACTTGACCTTTTTGACCTGAAAGTGACCTGACCTAAGCTGAATTCGACTTAAAATGACCTCAAATGACTCAGACGACATCAAATTTGAAATCTATGGCCTAAATGGACCATAAAACATTTGTCACGTGACCGATGTATGATATAATATTTTCGTGACCTGTGATGACCTGATCCTGACCTGAAAATCAAAGTACAAGTTTGGTACACTCAGGGTATCTAAAGCATCTATTCACGAAGGTGTAAACAAAAAATGAGCCTGATCTGATTTGTAAGACGGCGGCCAGAGCCCAAAATGTGAACAAGCCAAAATGCTAATAATTTTTACTTTGACCTGACCTGTGACGTCACCGTTGACCTCGAGGTCAATGAAATTAGGATTCCCGTGACAGTTTTTCCGGGTGCTATCAGACGCCGTTTGAATTTTGACGATCGGCCCAGTAGTTTCGGAGTTAGGAGGGGGGCTATGAAGAGCCCCCACCCGTAGGGCATGTTATACGCAGACCCCAGTGGGGCGCGGGATATTGAGCACGAGTGCCACACAAACTACCATCTTTCGCTTGGCCCTGCGAGGACTTCAGCGCCGGAGTTGTATTGAAATTGACCAGAAAACTGCCGAGTTTAATATCTAATTCTTTCGCATAAGAGCCACATATAAGTCACACACTGCATCAGCTACATCCAGTACCATCTGTTGGTGACCCTTCCCACTCTAGTTCGCGGGGCCGCCCACAGATGGCTCTGGCGGCCGGTGGCGGTCGGCGTCTCTCCGCCGCGGCGTGGCCAGTCAGACGGGCGCCGACAGCAGCGGCGGAAGGGTCTGTGACGGCCCGCGCCGTGGTGCGCCCTGGACAGCTCGCTCTGAGGCTCAGAGACCGGTGGGACGCAGGTGGATAGTGGGACCATGGTGTAACAGACAGCAGCACGAACCGAACTGACGGCTGATCAGGCGTCATAAACAGTAGTTGTATTGGTTTTCGAGTGGACAAGGCAGCCAACGCCTGGCCGCGTGCCTGGTGAACGGCCTGCGTGTGTCGGAGCAATGATGAGAGCACTGGCGTGGATACTGGCAGCTGGTCTTCTTTTTGAAGGTAAGTTGTTCCTTCTTTTTCTGGTCGATAGCGCTTCTTGTGCTTCAGTAATGATGAATCGGACTACATATGGCGGACAACAAAGTCCGTTAGATGTAATTGCTTTGGCTGCAAATATTTCGATTTTGCACTCGCGGCATGCATTCCCGCTAACATCGGAATGTTTGCAGTTAAACAAACACAGAAGCATCAAGAAGATCTGATTTGTATCTATGTCGTTGTTCAATATACCACACTTGTATGTTGTCCCTTTATCAACCATGTTTATCAATCGCATGATCACGCTGCTGGTTGTTTTTCTATTTAGCCAAAACAAAAAAATATTTTACATGCAATGAAAACATTCGGTTACCCTGAAATATGCCACGAGGCGCAAATCAAAACACATTTCCAAAATTAATTTAGCACGATTCGCTTAGGGAACTCCGGGTAATGTTAAAATAGCATCCATGCATCTAACGCGCCTCCGACTCTCCGGGAGAAAATTGACACAGCTCCAGTGAGGCCAAATCTGCCCTTTGCCAGCATCAAATAGTCTCCCAAAAGGTTACATTTCGCTTCTACTGGTATAGTCCTCGTAACTCCATCACTCCCTGCGGAGGTAGCCTTGGTAACTCTATAACTCCCTGTGGGAGTCGACTGCGAGAGTTGATCGGTCCAGAGCAAATGGAACTGACACACGGCCGCTCACTGACTCATAACATCACGGTCGTGACATTTGGAAATGCATTGTTTCATACAGACTGCAGGGAACGCGCACAATCAATGCATTGAAACGGAATGCAAACAGCAGTATTAACATTTAACCCGCGCACCGACGGGGGTCTGCGCCAACTTAGTACCGACGGGGGGGGGGGGGGGGCGGATGACCGCCCCCCCCCCTGAGATCTCGAGAACGAAGCAAGATAGCGACAAGCGGTAAACGGCATCGGATACGCACGGTCAAGATCTACAATTTTTACTAAGGTCATTTTCAGGTCAGGTCAAAGATGACGTCACAGGGGTCGAAAAAGTCAAAATGGCGGCGCTAAATATGGAGAGAGTTTTTCTCGAATAACTTTCGAATTAGTCAAGATAGGAACAAACTAAGGGCATCATCGTGATCCTCTCGTCAATCCGCATCGAATGATATATATGTTGACCTCGAAAGGTCAAGGTCAAAGGTTGACCTCAGGTCACGTGACCTCGAGGTCATCATGTATATCATTCGATGCGTCTTGACGAGCTGAACACAATGAGACCATCCACGCGTCTGTATCTTGTTCCTGTACGGAGTTATTGGCCAAAAACCTTTGGTGACCTTTGATGACGTCACATGACCTCACAGCTGCCCAACAGCAAAACAGACCTCAAGGTAGTGAAGGTTGATCGTATATGAAGTCATGTATGGTATATGGGGCCATTCCGACCCGTTTTAGTGGTAAAAACAGGGAGTTGATTTTTCCCCCATTGACTTATAATGGGGAGGTCGCGAAATTGACCTGACCTTAGGTCACCGATATCAAAATTCCGAGATAAACAAATTGTAGCTACTAATGACCTAATAACATCCTGCGACTTTCAAAGGCCTCCGACATCTACTGTAGCTCTGGCACGGTGACAAAGTTGCAAAAAAGTGACTTGAGGTTGGGTCATTCAAAGTGACCTGGTGACCTGACCTTGAAAGGTAGGAGGTTCAAACTTGCACACCATGTGTAAAATTGATAAGGGAATAGTCATACCAAATTTCGCGGCGCTACGCGCCGCGGTTTTCCCGCTATTCGCGAAAAACCTCAGGGGGGGGGGGCGGATATCCGCCCCCCCCCGTCGGTGCGCGGGTTAAAGCGTCACATGACGAACTCCTTGCTATTCTCAGTGCAGGGAACTAAACACGCCAGTATGTTTGCCTCTCATAACCAAATCAGTAAGTTGACCGGAATGAATAGACTTTTTGGTATGATTATGAAACCCCATCACAAATATGTGCATACAAATTATCCCAGCGATATAGAACATGAGTTGTTTTGCCCGATTCTGCGCTGCGTCGGATCTTATTATACCAAACTTGGAATGGTTATCGTACCACTACGAGCTCCTTCACAAGTTACGAGGCACCCGTGCATAGAAACTCAATGTTCCACATATAGAGACCTGTTGACCTAGGAGATTAGCTGAAGCCGCGCTGTCGAGCGTCAATCCTCACTTTACTGACCTGACCTAATCGTTCTCTTATCGATGCAGACCAAAGAATGTTCATGAATTGTCTTCCCTTAACAGAATCTCTATGATTCTGAGCCATTAGAGCAGCTATATGCATTGCCTACTTAATTTCGAAACAATACATGTTCGTTGTCCGATTGTTCGTGGTCTCACGCGCGATCAGTATCTTGCTGCAATGTTTTGTCCCTCTTGCCAAAAGTACAACACTTTTTGGACTGAGGTATGCGGTGAATAAATTATAGCTGTCTTCGCGTTATTGTGTCCATTATTGAGTGAATGTAAGTACGGATTATGGAGGAAGAGTTTGCTATGCATGGGCCCAACATTTGCATTTACCATAAAATGATTGATAATTCCGCTCTCTGCTCGCCTCTTCACATATACCGAAAATAATAATGTTATTCCATTTAGATGCAATGAACATACTAGCGTACCTAGTAATAAGGATGTCAACCGTTTGAAGGGAATCAAATATTACGCTTTAATAATAACACGGAACAAAAATGATAAACAAATGCTTGTTCCGTGCTATAATACTTGTCTCAACTGAAATACGTTTTAATAACTTGGACGGTAATTGAAGTAAGCCGTCCAAGCTCATATGTGTTAAGTTATTGCCCGATTGAAATTACGTAGTGAAAAATGCCTTATCTTTTTTACTAATGAATCCTGTCTAGGATTTCTACATATATTTTTACGATTTTCCTCTGATAGTTCGTTATTTGGCAGTAATCTCATCTCACGATGGTCCCCACACCGGCAGTTTTGTGGTTTTCGCAATCCTCCGTCCTGTCTCCGGCATTCCAAATCACTCTCTGCACGACACCACATCATCACGAGCCGATCTTTGGATAAGCAGTCCGGTCACGAAGCTGCAATATCAGAGCCTTAGTAGCCATGAGGATTCAGCATCGCATATGCCAGCCACCCTCACTCCTTCCATAGACATGGATTTTGATTTCTATAAGCTCCACACTGGACAGTGCGCATGGCTTGGACGATGCCAGGCAGCTCATGCGGTCATAGCAGAGTACGTAGGGTGGATCTGATGCTAGCTGATGGCTCACACTGGCCAGTCCAAAGTTTCCACGGCTCAAAGTGGTCTATTGCAAACCGGTGTGCCCCTCCATGGCTCATCGCGGAATTACGTTGTAGTCGTATAATGTCATGTCCTTTCACACGTACAGGTCATAACCTATCCGCTCGGTATAACACAACATGACAGATTGACAGACACCGTAATGTTTTGTCCTGTTGTGATCCTCCATAATCTGGCGTGTAGGCCCGTCAATCTCCCATAGTAGCCCGTCCCGTCCCAACGAGGACAGGACGGTCCAAAGCTATATGGCCCACCGTGGCCTGGCATGGCCCACCGTGGCCCACAGTGCCCTTCATGGACCGCTGTGACCCACAGCAGCCCTGCCATGGCCCGTCGTGGTCCTTCGTGGCCCACCTTGGCTCACCGTTTGGCGGTTGTCAAACCTGACTTGTCGCCGTGATTTCCGTCCTTCATCATTGGTCCCTGTGGAGCCATCGGCACGTTCGCCCGCTCGGCCTGCCCGGTGACAGCGACACTGAGCTCTTTTGTCTCGGCACGGCTCATTCGATTAGGTCCCAAATGGGTTGGTGATGTGTCACGCGGCGGGTCAGGAGGTGCCGGCACGGCGCATCGATCCTAGTTGGTGTGACAAAATCTGGATTTTGCATGCGCTGAAGTGAAGACGAGAGGGAAGAAGGGATTTTCGATATTGCTCCCGGCTGTGAATGAAATTTGTTAATCGGATATTGCCTCTGGTTGCGGGGGTGGACGGAAACTAGATATTGCTTCTGAAAGTGGATGGAATTCAGCTAAAGGTATCAGCGGCGGTCTGCTAGGGCTGTGATAATATAACGTTACATAAGCGGGGTTGTCATTGTTTGTGGTCGCCATGCGGTCAAATGTAACAATAGAATGTGCAGTATTGCACACTGCAAAATGTACGGTAAACTCTGACAGAGTTGCCAGGCACGGTTCAATGGTTCCATCTCGTTCCCTTTCAGCGGAGTTGCTTTAGTTCGCTGTAACAGCGCCTGGTCTGTGGCGTTGTTCCGCTGTTGGCACGAGGCGGAACACTATTGTGGCACCGCCGGGTCGGATGATCCGGGCACCACGCTTCATCAGACCCGTTCCACCGAGGGTAGCCGATCGCGGAATTGCATCGTTCTCTTTTTTGTTGCCGGAAGCCTGGGAAATTTTATCGTTCAGACGGAGATGTTTCAATAGGGCCGACACTTGTTACACTGAAGGCCAGCCATCGCGGTCGAATCTCGGCCAGACTGGAGTATTCCATCAGACGGATAGCCCCATCACAGGATGATGCTCCTCTCCAGCTTTATGAGCCGACATTGGATATCAATGTATATGTGGCGCGCGCCAGCATGTCTGCCCATCCAGCCGGTGATATGGAATGGGTCGCCGCCCGTAAACTAAGCGACTCGGGTCACCGGGTGGTCAAAGGATACAGGGCAGCCCCGCTGAGACCGGCCGTCTCTGGGCAGTGGCCGAACCGTGTCCTCTGACTGAAACATACCCGGGATGTCACCTGACTCAGGCCACACCCTGAATACAGGAGGGCGTGTCGCACTGCAGCCTCCTAGCCCGCTGGTCGCTGCGACTTGCGAGTGTAGCATGGCAGTTTGGCAGGGGAGCGGCGGTGTGGGGAGTCCGCCCACCGTCCGCCCGCTGCCCGCCCGCCTCCGCTCTACCGTCCACCGCCCGCCGTCCCCCGCACTACGCAGCCCACCGCCCGCCCGCTGCCGTC